GTGTGTGTGTGTGTGTGTGTGTGTGTGTGTGTTTTCTGGGCGCTGCCCCTGTGCTCTGTCACGTGATTGTTCCACTCTGCTTTTTTTTTTCCACGGTTAGTTGGAGATAGAGACACAGACTTACCTGCTTGGGCGGGCTTTGGAGTGCTACCCTTACTCTCAGCTTCCTGCGAGGTGAGGATTACAGGCCTGAGCCTTCAGGGCCTGAGCACACTGCCATTCTTTTTTTTTTGCCAGTCCTGGGACTTGAACACAGGCCCTGGGTTCTCCCCTCAGCTTCTTTTGCTCAAGGCTAGCACTCTACTACCTGAGCCACTGCTCCACTTCTGGCCTTTTCTGAATGGCTTATTTATTCAGAGACGAGGGTCTCAGAGACTTTACTGCCCAAGCTGGCTTTGAATTGTGATCCTCAGATCTCAGCCTCCTGAGTAGCTGGGATTACAGGTGTTGTTGTAAGCCACTACCAAGAGCCCAGATCACGCTGCCATTCTTTCTGGTTGTTTTGAGACAGTCCAGTCCTGCAGTTTACCAGACTCTTGAGTACTGAGCACACAGTAACTTTCTTGATGTATTTAGCAGCCAAACTCCCACCTCAGGACCTTTGTATTTCCTGTTACCTGCGTCAGGTATATCTTCTCAGTAAATGTCACCTTCCTGACAGGTTCATCTTCCTTAGCCAGTTAACTCAGTCATATCAGTATCTTGGCGTTTGTTTCCTGTTTTGGCATTACTTTTTCTTTTCTTTTTTTTTTTTTTGGTCAGTCGTGAGACTTGAACTCTGGGCTTGGGCACTATCCCTGCGCTCTTCAGCTCAAGGCAAGCGCTCTACCGCGTGAGCCACAGCGCCACTTCTGGTTTTCTAGTGGTTTATTGGAGATAGGAGTCTGACGGACTTTCCTACCCAGGCTGGCTTTGAACCGTGATCCTCAGATCTCAGCCTCCTGAGTACCTAGGATGACAGGCGTGAGCCACCAGCACCCAGCTTGGCATTACTTTTAAGTTTTAAGACGTTGCTAGGCAAGAATGCTACCACTTGAGTCATGTTATATCTCAAATAGGGTATTGCTTTTTGTATGGGGCTAACCTCCTAACATGATCCTCCTATGTGTGCCTCCTATGAAGCTGGAATCACAGGTATGAACCACCATGCCCAGCTCCATTGAGGCAGAGGTCTTGCTAACTTGCTAACTTTTTGTCTGGGCTGGCCTGGAACTGTGATTCTCCAGATCTCCACCAGCTGGGATTACAGGCATAAACCACACAGCACTTGACCTAATATGTTTTATTGTTCTCCTAGCACTTGTCAGTGTTTTGTTCCCTTTCTTGTCCTGTGTCCCACAGGGAGCTGGGAGATTCAATTCCCACTTAATTAGCTGCCTCTTGTGATAACAGGATTGGAGATTGGTATTGTTAAAAGAAAGAAAGACGACTGGGAAGGTGGCTCAGTGGTAGAGTGCTTGACTTGCAAGCATGAGGCCCTGGGTTCGATTCCTCAGCCCCACATAAACAGAAAGCCAGAAGTGGCGCTGTGGCTCAAGTGCTAGACCACTACTAGCCTTGAGCTGAAGAGCTGAGGGACAGTGCCCAGGCCCAGAGTTCAGGCCCCACGACCAGCAGAAAGAAAGACAAACAGCTAAAGTATGAACTGACTGGTGCCAGTCCTGGGGCTTGAACTCAGGGCCTGGACACTGTCCCTGAGCTTCTCTTGCTCAAGGCTAGCACTCTACCACTTGAGCCCCCTGACTGAATCTTCATAACAACTCTAAATAGAGATGAACTCCAAATTAGCAGTGGAAAATCAAGCCCCAGCATCAATAGACCTGATCCAGCCTGTTATCCTAGCTACTCAGGAGGCTGAGATCTGAGGATCAAGGTTCAAAGCCAGCCCGGGCAAGAAAGTCCATGAGACTCTTATCTTCAATGAACCACCAGAAAACTGAAAGTAATGCTGTGGCTCAAGTGGTAGAGCGCTCACCTTGAGCTGAAGAGCTGAGGGACAGCGCCTAAGCCAGAGTTCAAGCCCCATGACTGACCAAAAAAAAAATAGACCTGGTCCAAAATCAAGGAAACCTAGATTGAAATCTAACTCATTGTAGCCACTCATCTATGTTGCGCCTTTGTGGATACTGAAAACTTACTAAGCATTAGATGGCACTATATAAGCTAGACATGACTTCTGGAGGGACAATAATCCCTGGGCTCTGGTGGCTCATGCCTGTAATCTCTGCTCACCAGAGGCTGAAATCCAGAGAATCACAGTTTGAAGCCAGCTACGGCAAAAAAAAGAGAGAGAGAGACTCCCATCTCTAAACAACCGCTAAAAATTACCAGTAAAAATCTAAAAAGGGAGGGCTGGGAAGGTGGCTCAGTGGTAGAGTGCTCGCCTGGCATGCATGAGGCCCTGGGTTCGATTCCTCAGCACCCCATAAACAGAAGAAAAACAGAAGTGATGCTGTGACTCAAGTGGTAGAGCACTAGCCTTGAGCAAAAGAAGGTCAGGGGCAGTGCCCAGGTCTTGAGTTCAAGCCCCATGACTGGCAAAAACAAACTAATAAAAAAAAAAAAACTCTAAAAAAAGGCCTAAAATTCTACTAACTCAGGAGGCCGAGATCTGAGGATCAGAGTTCAAAGCCAGCCCAAGCAGGAAAGTCCGTGAGACTCTTCTCTAATGAACCACCAGAACACTGGAAGTGGTGCTGTAGCTTAAGTGGTAGAGCGCTGGCCTTGAACATGGGAAGCTGGGCCAGCGCTCAGACCCCAGTGCAGGCTCCAGGACCAGTAAAAAAATAAAAATGAAAATGAAAAAAGTCTCCCTAGTAAACATGATGATGGGGGCTGGGAAGGTGGCTCAGTGGTAGAACGCTTGCCTTGCATTCCTGAAGCCCTGGGTTCCATTCCTCAGCACCACATAAGCCAAAAGAAAAAAGCCAGAAGTGGCGCTGTGGCTCAAGTGGTAGAGCGTTGGCCTTGAGCTGAGGAGCTGAGGGACAGCGCCCAGGCCCAGAGTTCAAGCCCCACAACCGGACCCCCCCCAAAAAAAAAACAAAACGTAAACATGATGATGCCATATTCAATGGGGAAGGCAGAGATCTACCAGGAGATATACTGAGATTTTTTTTGTTTTTGTCTTTATGGTTTTTGTTTTCTTCTTTTTTGCCTATCCTGGGGCTTGAACTCAGGGCTGGCTGCTGCCCCTGAGCCTCTCTGTGGCTGTGCTCTACCCCTTGAGCCACTGACCACTTCTGGCTTTTTCTGAGTAGTTTATTGGAGATAAGTGTCTCACGGACTTTCCTGCCCGGGCTGGCTTTGAACCGTGTGATCCTCACATCTCAGCCTCCTGAGTAGTTAAGATTACAAGTATAATCCACCATCGCCTAATATATAGAGTATTTTTTTTCTTTTTTCTGTCAGTCGTGGGGCTTGAACTCTGGGCCTGGGCACTGTCCTTCAGCTCTTCAGCTCAAGGCAAGCGCTCTACCACTGGAGCCACAGCGCCACTTCCGGTTTTCTGGTGGTTCATTGGAAACAAAAGCCTCATCAACTTTTCCTGCCCCAGCTGGCTTTAAACCCTGATTCTCAGATCTCAGCCTCTTGAGTAGCCAGGATTACAGGCGTGAGCCACCGGCACCTGCCTTCCCCAGCTATTTTATTGAACTGAAGGGTTTGAACTCAAGGTTTTGGGTGCTTTCCCTGAACTTTTCTGCTTAAAGCTAGCACTCTGTAACAATTTGAGCCAAGCTCCACTTCCAACTTTTTGGTGGTTAATTGGAGATGAGTCTCATGGGCTTTCCTACCCGGGATGGCTTTGAACTATGACCCTCAGATCACAGCCTCCTGAGTCACTAAGATTACAGGCGTGAGCCACCAGTGCCTACGCTCTCCAGCTGTTTTAAAACCAGGTGGCTTTGGTTTTTTGTTTTTTGTTTTTTTTTTTGTTTTGGCCGGTTCTGGCTTGAACTCAGGGCCTGGGCACTGTCCCTAAGCTGCTTTTGCTCAAGGCTAGCACTCTACCACTTGAGCCACAGCATCATTTCCAGCTTTCTCTGTGTATGTGGTACTGAGGAATCGAACCCAGGGCCAGGCATGCAAGGCAAGCACTCTACCACTGAGCCACCTTCCCAGCCCCAACCAGGTGATTTCTTTGTTCTCCATTGAGTGGCTGGGAGTGAAATTATGTGTAATACTTTGTACCTGGCACCTGTTGCAGAGAGGAAGGCAGGTCGGCCTAGAGGTAAAGATAACTATTTATGGGGTTGGAAGCGTGGCTCAATTGATGAGTGCTCGCCAGTGAGCTAAAGCATCAGGTAAGCCAGGCGCCGGTGGCTCCCGCCTGCCATCCTCGCTCCTCACGAGTCTGAGATCTGAGGATCGCAGTTCAAAGGCAGCTCAGGCAGGAAAGTCTGTGAGACTCATCTCCAATGAACCACCAGGAAACCAGAAATGGTGCCGTGGCTCAAAGTGGTAGATCACTAGCCTTGAGCAAAAAGAGCTCAGGGAACAGTGCACAGACCCTGAGTTCAAGAGTTCAAGCCCCACGACGAACAACAACAACAAAAAAGGATCAGGTTCAAGTCCTGGTCAAAGACCAAAAGAGAGAGAGAGAGAGTTATAAGCCAGGCACAGTGATTCACCTGTGGCTAATCTAGTACCGACGCACGAAAAAAGGAATAAACCAGGGTTATTTATGGCAATGAATGATGCACTAAATTAAGAGGGAGAAGAGAAAAGAAGCAGAATGAGAGGGAGTCTTGGGACAGTCAAGTTGAGTCAGTGGAGAACAAGCATTCCGGTCTTTAGGGACAGCAGGAGCAGGGCCTGGGTGGTGGATCAGGGAGGTAGTTGTGGAGCCAGTCATTGTAGTGTATGTCTGTAATCCCAGCTGTTCGGAAGCGGAGATGGGAAGATCTTTGTTGTTGTTGTTGTTTGTTTGTTGGTCAGTCATGGGACTGAACTCTGGGCCTGGGCGCTGTCCCTCAAGCTCTTCAGCTCAAGGCTAGCATGCTACCACTTACACAACAGCACCACTTCCAGCTTTTGCTGCTTATGTGGTGCTGAGGAATTGAACCCAGGGCTTCATGTATGCAAGGCAAGCACTCTACCACTGAACCAACTTCCCAGCCCGTGTTGTTGTTTTTTGTGAGTCCTGGGGCTTGAACTCAGGGCCTGGGTGCTGTCCCTGAGCTGCTTCTGCTCAAGGCTAGCGCTCTACCACTAGAGCCATAGCGCTACTTCCAGCTTTTTCTGTGTATGTGGTAGTGAGGTGCTTCATGCATGCTAGGCAAGTATTCTACCACGAGCCACATTCCCAGCCCCAGGGAAGATCTTGACTTCCAGTACAGCCTTGTCTTCAAAGGCCTGTCTTTCTTTCTTTTTTTTTTTTCGGTGGTGGGGCTTGAACTCTGGGCCTGGGCTCTGTCCCTCAGCTCTTCAGCTTAAGGTGAGTACGCTACCACTTGCACCACAGCACCACTTCCAGTTTTCTGTGTGGTTTAAGAGTCTCACCTTTTGTGCCCAGGCTGGCTTTGAACAGCGATCCTCAGATCTCAGCCTCCTGAGTATCTAGGATTGCAGGCATGAGCCACCTGCGCCTGGGAAAGCCCTGTCTTTAAAAAAAAAAAAGCTAGGCGCCGGTGGCTCACACCTGTCATCCTAGCGGCCCAAGAGGCTGAGATTTGAGGATCGCAGTTCAAAGCCAACCCGGACAGGAAACATTGTGAAACTCTTTTCTCCATAAACCACTAGAAAACCCGAAGTGGCATTATAGCTCAAGTGGTAGAGCATTCGCCTTGAACTGAGAGCAGAGGGACAGTGCCCAGGCCCAGAGTTCAAGCCCTACAACAAAAATAAATTAATTTAAAATAATAGGAATCAATGGAATGATAGAGGGAAAAGTAGATTTCAAGTCCTGAGTAAAGGAATTTGAACTTTAGTGTGTGTGTGTGTGTGTGTGTTTGCCTGCCTGTGTGTTTGTATGTACTGGGGGTCAAACCCAGGGTCTAGATCCTGTCCCTTAGCTTTTTTTTGGTGGTGGGGCTTGAACTCTGAGCCTGGTTGCTGTCCCTCAGCTCTTCAGCTCCAGGCTAGCCACAGCACCACTTCTGGTTTTCTGGTGATTAATTGGAGATGAGAGTCTCAGGACTTTCCTGCCCCAGCTGGCTTTGAACTGTGATCCTCAGATCTCAGCCTCCTTAGCTAGGATTATAGGGGTGAGCCACCGGCGCCCAGCTGTCCCTTAGCTTTTTGTACTCAACAGTGGTACTCTACCACTTGAGCCACAGCTCCATTTCTGATATTTTGGTGGTTCATTGGAGCTAAGAGTCCCACAGACTTTCATGCCCCATCTTGTTTTGAATCTGTTTTCAGTTCTCAGCCTCCAGAGAAGCTAGAATTACAGGCATGAGCCACCGTGCCCCTGGGCTCAGCAGGGAGATGCGGGCCGCGGCGTCCAGCACAGGCTCCTAGTAAGGCCTCACAGGTGCCTGTTGACCTGTTGCATTTTTTCCCATCTTATTTATTTAGGGCCAGTTCTAGGCTTGAACTCAGGGCCTGGGCATTGTCCCTGAACTTCTCTTGCTCAAGGCTAGCACTCTACCACTTGAGCCACAGCGCCACTCTTCCAGCTTTTTTTGTGTGTGTGGTACTAAGGAATCGAACCCAGGGATTCATGCATGCAGGGGAAGCGCTCTACCACCAAGCCACCTTCCCAGCCTCTTCCTATCTTATCTACACAGAAATTAATGGCCAGATCTCTGTGGATGGCACCTGGGGTCCGCTAGGCCATGTCTTTGTAAGGCCTTGGGCTGTGTGCGGTGCTGGCGGCTCCTGCCTGTAATCCTATCCTCTCAGGAGGCGGAGATCCAAGACTTCGATTCAGAGCCAGCCGGCACAGCTGAGTTTGTGAGATGCTTTTTATCTCCAATGAGCCACCAAAAAGCCGGAAGTGGAGCTGTGGCTCAAGCAGTAGAGCATCACCCTTGAGCAAAGCAGCTCGGGGACAGGGCCCAGGCCATGAGTTCAAGCCTCAGGACTAGGCCCCCTTCCCCCCAGGACTCCCCCAAACCCTTGGGGTGCTTGGGCCAGCTGCTAACCCAGAAGTGAGGCCTCACCGCCCCCCTCTACTTCCTCCCCAGGGGCCTGCGAAGCCTCCCTGGCCTGTTCCACCTGCCACGTGTACGTGAGCGCGGCCCACCTGGACCTTCTGCCTCCCCCCGAGGAGAGGTGAGCCTGGAGGGGGGGGGTCCCCCAGCCGCGGGTCCCCGCGCTGACCGCTGACCCCCCCCCAGGGAGGACGACATGCTGGACATGGCGCCCCTGCTCCAGGAGAACTCCCGTCTGGGCTGCCAGATCGTGCTGACCCGCGAGCTGGACGGGGCGGAGTTCACGCTGCCCAGGATCACCCGCAACTTCTACGTGGACGGCCACGTGCCCAAACCCCACTGACATGGGGGGGGGGGGGGCGAGCCACGGATCGGCCCCAGCCCCGGGACCTGCGGGGAGAAAGCGGGCGGCCGGCCGCGCGGGGCCCGGCCCGGGTTGGAGGTGCTGGGGAGGTGGCTCAGTGGTAGAACGCTTGCCTTGCATTCCTGAAGCCCTGGGTTCCATTCCTCAGCACCACATAAGCCAAAAGAAAAAAGCCAGAAGTGGCGCTGTGGCTCAAGTGGTAGAGCGTTGGCCTTGAGCTGAGGAGCTGAGGGACAGCGCCCAGGCCCAGAGTTCAAGCCCCACAACCGGACCCCCCCCAAAAAAAAAACAAAACGTAAACATGATGATGCCATATTCAATGGGGAAGGCAGAGATCTACCAGGAGATATACTGAGATTTTTTTTGTTTTTGTCTTTATGGTTTTTGTTTTCTTCTTTTTTGCCTATCCTGGGGCTTGAACTCAGGGCTGGCTGCTGCCCCTGAGCCTCTCTGTGGCTGTGCTCTACCCCTTGAGCCACTGACCACTTCTGGCTTTTTCTGAGTAGTTTATTGGAGATAAGTGTCTCACGGACTTTCCTGCCCGGGCTGGCTTTGAACCGTGTGATCCTCACATCTCAGCCTCCTGAGTAGTTAAGATTACAAGTATAATCCACCATCGCCTAATATATAGAGTATTTTTTTTCTTTTTTCTGTCAGTCGTGGGGCTTGAACTCTGGGCCTGGGCACTGTCCTTCAGCTCTTCAGCTCAAGGCAAGCGCTCTACCACTGGAGCCACAGCGCCACTTCCGGTTTTCTGGTGGTTCATTGGAAACAAAAGCCTCATCAACTTTTCCTGCCCCAGCTGGCTTTAAACCCTGATTCTCAGATCTCAGCCTCTTGAGTAGCCAGGATTACAGGCGTGAGCCACCGGCACCTGCCTTCCCCAGCTATTTTATTGAACTGAAGGGTTTGAACTCAAGGTTTTGGGTGCTTTCCCTGAACTTTTCTGCTTAAAGCTAGCACTCTGTAACAATTTGAGCCAAGCTCCACTTCCAACTTTTTGGTGGTTAATTGGAGATGAGTCTCATGGGCTTTCCTACCCGGGATGGCTTTGAACTATGACCCTCAGATCACAGCCTCCTGAGTCACTAAGATTACAGGCGTGAGCCACCAGTGCCTACGCTCTCCAGCTGTTTTAAAACCAGGTGGCTTTGGTTTTTTGTTTTTTGTTTTTTTTT